GCCCATGATCGGGTTGAGATATAAACATTTGCTATTTATTGTTTTGATGGTTCATTTGAATAAATGGATGGATTTGAAGGGCTTTAATAAAATATTGGCTATATATATATATATATATCTTCACAATCTTTGTACGACTAGAATTCTATTCCACGTGGATTTCAAACAGCTCATTGTATCTTGTTATTTGAAATTCACATTTATAATTCTCTAAATAATTTCATTCAAGGCCAAACTGAAATTGGTTACAATAGTTTATCAATGGGAAAGGAAAAGAGCAAAAATATGCACAAGAAATCTTTTTCATGATTCTTATTATAAATATTTATTATAAGTCCTTTTAACAGCATAAATTGGACTAAAAAGAAGCCATCCAATAAAATTTTGCATAGTTTTATGAATTTCATATAGTGATTCATCAAAAAAACTTCAATTCTAGTTGTTAAACTTTTTTATTTAGGTTCTGTTTGTTTTGATGAAAAATATATATTTTTTGAAGTAAAATATATATTTTTTATTTTTATTTTTGATATTTAGCAAATGTCTAAATCGAAGTTGAGGTCAAGTTCATTGAACCGGGCGTGTAAAATAACTTGTCGAAAATTAATGAATAAGTTATTTTTTTTAAGTTTTAATATATTTTTATTAGTAAATATTTTTCGACAACCAAATACCAAAAAATATAAAATATATTTTACACTCAAACAAACGGAACCTAAAATTCAATTACATAATGCAAGTGATTAAATACATGCAACAGGGTTGCTAATAGTTTTTATAATTCTCCTTGGTACTAAAGTTATGTTTGGGATTAAATGAAGATATCTGAAATGAAATCTCATATTTGTATCTAGAATAACTTAAATTTTAAATAATAAAATAAATTAAAGTCTCAAATAGGGGTAGATGCAGGGGTGGTAATATTTGACACGACACGAGATAAGCGAGTTTAGGTTTGTGCTATATGTGTTCGTGTCGACACGGATTAACCTACTAACTAAATGTGTCATGTTCGTATTTGACCCTGTAAACACGATTATGACACGATTAACTCGATTAATTAAACGTGATAAACGTATCGTATTCGTGCCAAAAATGACCTATTTAGCAAAACGTGTAGAACAAATATGTCGTATTCGTGTAAAAAATGACTTAAATGTGTTTTTTCGTATCGTGTCAAGTTTTGATTTATTTATTAAACAGATTATGCGTGTCGTGTCGTATCATGTTACACGTATAATAATCGTGTCGTATTTGTGTCAAGGGTTTTAGACATAATTAATAATTGTGTCAATCTTAATCGTGTTCGTGTCGTAATTGTGTCAATATGAACATGACACGCCGACACGAATTGTCACCCGTAGATGAATCCAGTTGCAACCTTCACTTTAAGTAAATATAAATTGGGAGCATATTGGCGCTCTAATATTCTATCCAATTATATTTTTAGTTAATAAAAAAATAGAAATACCCTTATTTAATTTGCTCATTTGTTTTCTTCCTGGCTCTATTATTTTAAAAGTCAAACATATTTAATCACTGATATTTTCGTCCTTTTCTTCTTCGGTATCCCAACCTAAGCTTGATGAAATCCTAAAATTTCGAAGGGATCTTTACATGAAGTGTTTGTTTAATAACAAAACAAAACCGGCAACACGTTGTTAACTTCAATTTATTTTTTTTCTAGACTCCGTTTATTTGAATATAAAATTATTTTTAAAAAATATTTACAAAGAAAATAAAAATAAAAATTTATTAAAAATAATTTAATCATCAATTTTTGACAAGTTATTTTATATACTCCATGCGAAAGACTCGATATAGACCTTTGCCAAATATAAAATATATACTTAAAAAAAAGGTCAAAACAAAGGTAGAATGTTGGTTGGTTCATATCTTAGATGGTTATTCATTCACCTTTCTCAAAATGACGTTTTCTAATAAATATGCACATGCTTAGAAACTAATTTAATGAGCTGAATTTTCTTTTTGTTTAGTTTTTCTCCACTATCTCAAATTACATATAATTAACCATTCATTTTGTTCCCAAATAAAGGTGAATAAAGACAAATTTTATAATAATAATATTTATGCACTTTAATTTTGTATTAAGGATTTTCATTATGATAATATTTATGCACTTAAGTTTTTTGGAGGTCCTTTAGAACAAAAACTATCTCCACTGTGGTGATAAGCAAAGCAAAGTACACAAAATTTGTGAAATTTGAGCAACAATGCTACAACAATTATTTTATTTTATTTTATTTTAAAAGTATTACAATGGGTCCTGATTCATCAACAGTCTCACAAAATTTTCATTATTTTTTTCTTCCTAATACTGTATTTCGTAACCTGTCACATCATTTATTATTATTTTAATAAAAAAAATTACATTATTTTTTTAAAAAAATTAAGACAGCCATCAACTTATACATCAAATTTTGCATTATAAAACCAAGTAATAAGAGCAACTCCAATGGGTTGCTATTTGGGTTGTTATTTTCAAAATATAGCATGTGAATTTAAAATACGTTCTTCAATAGCATACCAAATGGGCTGCCAAAATATAACTTTGCTAAATATTATGCCAAATATAACCCAACATATAGTTATTGTCAAATCGATTTGCTATTACTCTCTTCCTTCTCTTTTCTCTCTTGCATGGGCTGCCAATTTGGTGTTGAGCTTATGTATACATATATATGTCAATTGTGCTTATATATATATATATATACACACATATCAACAGACATATATATACATATATATATATACACACTGACATATATATATACATACACACACATATATATCTCAGTGTTTTTATTTATTTATTTTTAATAAGACAAATAAGTTAAATAAAATATAAATATTCACAAAAAAAAAAAATAATTGTTGAAAATTGTAGTTGAAAAATAATAATTATTCTAACAAAAAATAGTATTTTGAATAAAATACATTATTAAAATAAAATTATTAAAATATAAAATTTTAACACTATAATTTTTTTCAAAATATAAATTTAACGTGTAAAAATAATATTTTGTATTAAAAATGGTCCAAGTATGTAGTTATTGGAAAGTAGGATCCATCTAATAATATTGGGCACAGCTGACAAGATGTGAAGCGTATCTCGTTTCGCTGTCATCCGATGTGGATACACGCAGTCACGGCACTAATATTAGGTGTTGACTTTAATGTCTATTCCACTTATTTTCCAATTCATATCCAAGTGTTAACCAGTTATGCGTCATATCCAACTCATTTCGCTATGTCGCGTGTGGAAACCCGACTTTTATTTTTTAACGGTTACTTTTCCTGAAATCAATGCAACACGTGAAACGTTAACAGACTAATTTCAAAATAAAGAAAATAAAGTGTCATCCCAGACCACTCCCACTCTGACACGTATTCGATATCACGTGTCTTCGCATACTTTCAATCGGTAAAATATCCTTCAGTTACTCTCGCACTAAATAACGTTCAATGCACATTTAACGGTGATGGTTGGCGCCACCTCTTCGATATAATCTTGTATCACCAAGTCAGTAAATCAACAAGTGAAGAAAAATAATTTTGTTTGTTTTACCTTATATACAAATATCACTATATACTCTCAAAAATAATGTTTATTTTTTTTAAAATTTAAATTTTAAAATTTAAATATTCAAAACTTAAAAGCACGAGTTAGTAATTTTTTTTTAAAAAAATACATCGCATATATGTCCTCTTAAAAATTTCTAATCCCTAAAAAGACATTTTTTTTGGGGATATGGAGTACTTTATATAATATATTATACATAATATATTATTATTATACAATTTAACTTTACATTTTTTTACTAAAATTAAAATACAAAATAAACTCAATTTAAAACAATTCAATAAAAAATAAAATATGTATACAAAATATGCTACTCAAACAAAATTATAAGGAATAACAAATCATATAATTATGGGTTATTAGGATTAATATATCACTCGATTCTCAAAATTTCTCCAAATCGAAAATTTCGAACCCTAGTTGCATATGATTCAGTCGAATTGAATAACTTTAATTCTTACATCACAAACTAAATCTTACTCCCCTAACCTTAAATTCTAAAGAGAATGATTAAATTATATATATATATATATGGCTAAGGTTCTAATTTTTTTTTTTTTTTTGTTAATACAATTCCATGTTCTTCCCTTTTTTATTCCTTTTTTGTTTTTCTAATTTTCTTTTCCACCTCTCCCCTTATATATACACAAATATGTGCCAAGGCAATCAAAACAAAATTATCAAATATAATATATATATATATATATATATATATATATATATATATGTATGTATGTGTGCGCGCTTGTATTTTTTCTTCTATTTTGAGTTGTTTTGTTTTGTTTTTTTTTTTTGGAGTTTTCATTATTTATTTATTTTAAAAAATTTTAAATTTTAACTAACTGAAATTCATGAAATGAAAATCAATTTATTAAATAATAAATATGTTGTATATAGAAGATTGATAAATATAAATTTAACTGCTAAGTCGACTTTTCTTTACTTCCAGTGAATGAGTAAGTGTAGAAAATTTTTCAATCACGTTTTTCTCAAGTAAATTAATTCCCTTTTTTCGAGAAGCCAGCAAGCAGAAAATATTTCTCACCAGGAAACCATCCAGCACTTCTCATTCGCAAGCAACCCACCAAAGCAAAACTATCTGATACTTAATCACCACCGTCCGACAAGAGAATTGTTGTGCTTTGAGGATTGATCAAAATATCAAACGGCTAAGAAATCAAGATCAGTAGGGAGCTTTTGTCAGTGATGTGCACCCAATAAAATTTCTTTGGGTGATATGTCATACGACTCAGACGTAGTACTGACAAATAATAATACAATGAATGACAGAGGTTGCTTCCCGCCGTGAAAAAGACATTTTTTTGAAAGCCAGTTTTCACGGACACATTCATATGACCCGACTCTAGTATTGGGTACTATAAATACACCAGTTTTGCCAAATTCTTAGTATTGTGTGTTGGGGTTAAAACCTGTATTTGTTGAAACCCTGATTGTCGTTGTTGTTGTTGTTGTTGTTTTTTTTTTTTTTTTTCGTTTCTTTCATGGTTTTGTGATCTTGAGAGGCCCAATCTAAAAAAAAATGACGGTTGGAGCAGGAATATCTGTGGCTGATGGGAACTTGAATGTGTTGGGAAACTGCATTTTAAGTGACGTTCACGACAATATATTTGTGACTCCGGCCACCGGAGATGGCTTAACCAATGGTGCCTTCGTCGGAGTCAGGTCTGATCAGATCGGTAGCCGACGGGTCTTCCCAATCGGAAAACTCCAGTATGTTATTTTCTTAACCATTTCTCTCCTTTCATTCCTCAATCAAAGTTTGTTATTTTGTTAAAGTAAATCACAACTTGTTAAAGTGATTTTCAACTGCAAATGGGTTTTCTTAATTTTATTTATTTATTTTTTATTTTCTTTACATGGGTGTTGAGTGATTTATTCACCTAAGATGCGGGTCAGAGTTAAATGTATGTATTATGGAATTACAACTGCAAATGGGTTATGGAATTTTATGGGTTTTCTTAATTTAAATTATTTTATTACAGGGGTGTTGAATGATTTATTCATCTAGGATGTGAGTCAGAGTTAAAATTGGGTTTGATGATATATGTGTGTGTGTGTGTTTTGATATGTGTTGGTAATGATTTGCAGGGGATTGAGGTTTATGTGTGTATTTCGGTTCAAACTGTGGTGGATGACACAGAGAATGGGCACATGTGGCCAAGATATACCATTTGAGACCCAATTTTTGATAGTGGAGGGACAAGATGGTGCACATTTTGGGGAAGAAAGTGAAGATGGGGTTGAGAAATCTGCACTGTATACAGTTTTCTTGCCGATTCTGGAGGGGGATTTCAGGGCTGTTCTTCAAGGGAATGCAAATAACGATTTAGAGATCTGTTTGGAAAGTGGTATGCTCGCAAATTCATGTTCTTTTGAATATTGTTTCTGTGATTTGTTAGTTGTTCTAGAAATGAGATGATAATATTTTTTGTTGATTGAAGGGGATCCTGCTGTGGAAGGGTTTGAAGGAAGTCATTTGGTTTTTATGGCTGCTGGATCAGATCCATTTGATGTTATTACAAATGCTGTGAAGTAAGTCCATTTCATTTCTCAAATGAATATAGGAAAATTAGGGCATGTTTGTTCAGCTCTCTAGAAAAATATAATATGGTTTTCACTTTTCGAGAGCTTTGAAAACAGAACAGTTATTGCTAATATCATATCCAAAAGAAAAATAATATCATTTTCCTAAAAATTATAAGCAAAAATAGCAGTTTTTATTTTCTGTTTGACTTACCGGAAAAGGAAAATCTCAAGATAGTGAAGTCCTCTCCATCCTGTACAAGATATCTAGTTTCAATTTGGATATGTGTTTTATTCATTTCCAGTTAGCAAATCTCAGATGCTTTTTTTTTTTTTTTTAAACGTCTAAGAGAATTTGTGATGCATTTTACAAAATAATTCACTTTTTTAATAAATCGCGTGTTTATTTTAATTTTAGTAAATTTAATTTTTTAGACTAATGATACAAAATGATAATATTCTTTTAAATTTTCAAATGAATCCAGCAATTTTTTCCCCTTTCCAATCACACAATGGAAACTTAAGTTGTGCCAAGTATCTTCTTGGGTGAAGCTTATTTCTTTATGCATACATAATTTGGTTATTAATTATATGAGTTCTACACAGGACTGTTGAGAGGCATTTACAGACATTTTCTCATCGTGAGAAAAAGAAGGTACTATATTTCTTCTCACAGTAATACTCTGTTGCTACAAACATTTTTTATGTATGCATAATATATATCTTTTGAAATTTTAACATCTATATGCTTCATCATGGTTCAGATGCCTGACATGCTGAACTGGTTTGGCTGGTGCACGTGGGATGCTTTCTATACAGATGTTACGGCGGAGGGAGTGAAGCAAGGATTGGAGAGGTTGGGACACTTACCATTTGAAAATTGTTTACAAACACCTAATACTAACATTCAGAAAAAAGTCAATAAACTAGCTTTTCCCTTTTTCAGTTTCGAGAAAGGTGGAATTCCCCCGAAATTCGTTATCATCGACGATGGTTGGCAATCAGTTGGCATGGATCCAGTTAGTGTTGAAGCTAAAGCTGATAACACAGCCAAGTGAGCACTTAAATTACAATCCCTTTCAAATGTTGCACACTACTTTTTTAGCTGGCTAATGATATTGATTATTTTTTGTTGTCTACTTCTCCTTTCAGTTTTGCAAACAGATTAACTCATATCAAAGAAAACCACAAATTTCAAAAAGATGGCAAAGAGGGTCACAGGGTAGAGGATCCGGCAATGGGGTTGCACCACATTGTTACTGACATTAAAGAACAACACAAATTGAAGTAGGATTTCTTATTCATGCTCACAAGTGTTAAGGTTCTGACAAATTTTGATCAGACGCTTGTGTTTACTTATTTTCTCCTGAATTTGTAGGTATGTCTATGTTTGGCATGCCTTAACTGGATATTGGGGTGGTGTTAGACCTGGAGTTACCGAAATGGAACACTATGAATCCAAGTTAGCCTACCCTGTTTCATCTCCCGGGGTTGAGTCGAATGAACATTGTGATGCTCTGAAGAGCATTACCACGACTGGGCTTGGCCTTGTGAACCCTGAAAAAGTGTTTAACTTCTATAATGAACTTCACTCATATCTTGCCTCGGCTATGATTGACGGGGTCAAAGTAGATGTTCAGAACATTCTTGAGACACTCGGGGCTGGCCATGGTGGAAGAGTGAAACTTGCTAGGAAATACCATCAGGCATTAGAGGCATCTATTTTGCGTAACTTTCCTGACAATGGAATTATTTATTGTATGAGTCACAATACAGATGGTTTGTACAGGTAAACTAATATCCTTCCACATGTTTTGATGGATTATAATCGTACAATGTAGTTGAGTTCTCAAGAATATTGATCTGATATGACTTTGAATTTCATGTAGTGCTAAGAGATCAGCTGTTATAAGAGCATCGGATGATTTCTGGCCCAGAGATCCAGCATCACACACAATTCATATTGCATCAGTTGCCTACAATACCATTTTCCTTGGGGAGTTCATGCAGCCAGATTGGGATATGTTTCATGTAAGCTGACGACTTGCAATGATGTATTTGGTTCTGAATTTTCTTAATCTGTTTCATTTAGTTGTGGGATTGTTGAATATTAACTTTTAAAATGATCTTCAAATGGTAGAGCTTACACCCAATGGCTGAATACCATGGAGCTGCTCGTGCTGTGGGAGGCTGTGCTGTATATGTCAGGTGCTGCCAATGGTCATGAATTTATGTTATGAAAAAATATCAATCGAACAACTGGTTTTCTCATGTTGGGATATCTAAATGCTGTGCAGTGACAAGCCTGGGCAGCATGACTTCAACTTATTGAAGAAGCTAGTACTTCCTGATGGCTCCATATTGAGGGCCAAACTTCCTGGCAGACCAACAAGAGATTGTTTGTTTTCTGATCCTGCCAGAGATGGAAAAAGGTTTGATAACAGAAATTGTTTTAGGACTCATAGTCTGCTATTCCTGAGAAGGGTGTGTTTGTTTAATCAGCTCTTGATAATCTTGCAGTCTTCTAAAGATTTGGAATCTGAACGATTTTAATGGAGTTGTGGGAGTTTTCAACTGCCAAGGAGCCGGGTGGTGCAAGGTTGGAAAGACGAACGTCATCCATGACAACCAACCTGGCACAATCACAGGAGTTATCCGTGCTAAAGATGTTGATTATTTGCCTAAAGTTGCTAATGATGGATGGACTGGGGATGCCATCTTATATGCCCATCTTGGAGGTATGGTTTTGCAGCAAAAAAGCTTTTCACTGTTTCCTTTTCAGTCATGTTTATGTTGTTCAATCCAAATAGACTGTCTCCAAATGTGTGAAGTTATTAGAAACTATTGTGAGTGTTCCGTATTGCTACCAAAATTGTTGATATGCCTTAAGTAATGAATTCTCTCTGTGACGTTATTGCAGGAGAGTTTGTTTATCTTCCAAATAATACTTCTCTGCCAGTTACACTGAAAACGCGAGAATATGAAGTTTTTACGGTGGTTCCTGTCAAGGAACTGTCAAATGGGGCTACTTTTGCTCCCATAGGTCTTACCAAGATGTTCAATTCAGGAGCAGCCATTAAGGAATTGAAATATGAATCCAAGAGAAGTTCATCTGTCGACATGAAAGTTCGCGGGTGTGGTGTATTTGGGGCCTATTCATCAGTTCGACCAAAGAGGATAACAGTTGACACCGAGGAAGTAGAGTTCAAATACGAAGAAGGGTCTGGATTATTGACCCTTGTGTTGAGAATTCCAGAGGAAGAACTGTACCTTTGGGACATGACCGTTGAACTGAAATGAATTTCAACCTTCTTCCAGTAGCATGAGGGATTCAATTTTTTACGCATACCTCGTGAAGACGTGAAAGAGAACTTCTCTGGAAATGATAGTTTTAAATTGTTCTCGTTTCTGTTTTGCAAGTTATTATTTCTTGGACAATAAGCGTGGGCGTCATTGTAGGTGTTGTATCATTTTAGTTTTATGGAATTTAGATAGGGAATTCTCAGTTGCCTGCAATGATGCCTCCATGGAAATTTGTAGCAGTTGGTTCAGGATGTATCATTTGAAGTTATATCACTAAATTCGGGTGAAGTGCAAAAAAATCTTCTTTGTATTTAGAAAAATGCGCAAATAGCATCTTTCATATTCAAAACGTTCAAATCTCAGTAGTACATAAAGTAAGCAAACAAATGGCTTAAATAAATTGAAATAGGCAAAAATACTAAAATACCCCCAAAATTCTCTTTACAATAATAATAAAATATGGCTAGAAAGTACTTGCATTACATTGCATTGTACAACTAATTAAGGCTCTCTCTACCCTCTTTCTCTCTCTATATCACATCTTTCCCTATATACATATGGCTTGCGTGCAGTTTACACCCCTATGTTATCGATATAGTGCATATAACCTGTAACGACCCGAACCCGGAGTCATTTACGTCCATCTACATCACTTCTAGTGCCGTTACATCATTCCTAAGTTATAATCAAGTTTTCCATAGGCTCTAAGCAACTTCCCTTGGAGTAGGATGGATCATGCTGAAGAAGGAAACAAAGTGGAACAAGGCAGCATAGTTTCGTTGACCGGAATGGGGCTTCGGTCAGCCGAAGTGAGCCCACTCTGCAACTAAGTTGCTAAAGCTGAGAAAGTGAGCAATAGCCTATGTGGAAACTTTGCAATCTGCTCTAAACATACTCTAATATACTTCAAAATAATAAAACCACATGACATAGGCATAAACATCAATAATTTGATACAACAAAACATTTTTTTCCCCATTCAACTACGAAATAATACATAGTCTTTGTATTTAATCGAATTTACATCAAAATAGGATTAATAATCAAAATTACAACTCAAGGTCATGCTACATAACTCAATACATTGCAAAATGATGCTTTACAAAGAATGACTTCAAAATACACAAAAGATGGCAAAATGGACTTCTATTCCCCTTCAAACTTGTGGTGGATTGTCATCCGTCACCTCCTTCCCGTGACCTGAAAAATATTAAATATAAGACGTAAGCAAATTGTTCAGTAGGTGGTGCCTAAGACACACCTCTTGTAACCTCGTGAATCCAAACAATGAATCGAAATATAGATATCGGGATCATGCTATGCCAGAAGAAAATACGACAAATTACAAGACCAAAATGAACAATATGATGCTATTGAATGTCAAGCTGTGCTATGTTGCTCCCCGTTTTCAAAATCATTTCCATTCTTCACTTTTCAAACCGTTAACATAACCCGTCCCATGGCAACTCCATGACGACACAAGAGAATGATTGGCCACTGGTAATTCCATGGCGCCATTTGGGGCAGGGCCCAGATAACTCAACCATGTAGGGATTTTCTCTAATTTCCTCTAAGTCACGCTAACACCACAGCCCCTAGGCAACTTCTAGGCGACCGGGTTTTCACAAAACCCATTATCAAAACTTTTTACCAAAAATCCCTTTTTTCCTTTCAAAACAATTCTTTCCCGTTCTATACCCAATGATATACATGAGTGCATCATGCCTTTCAACAACATCACAAGGATAAACCAAACACTATGCAAATCAAATATTTACAATATAATAAGCCTTAAAGGAAATTTCTAATAATATTCAACATGTTTCTATATTAAAAAATTTAACAAATTAAACACAATAGGCATAGACAATTAACACTTAAGCATGTTTTTCATACAATCACCAATACACATATTCATATTCATGGCTTTCATACACAACAATTAATTCATTCTAAAGGCAATCAACTCAAATTAAGCATGCTTGACAACAATATTGAAGAAAAATTCACAAAGGTACAAAAGATTTGGGAATTAGAAACTCCTACCTCTCTTGGATGCAAAAACCCCTAAATAGGTCCAAAATTTCAAAATTCTTGGGGAGGCCAAAAGCTGAAATTGCTTATATAGACTTGAATATCTCACCGAACTCTTCGATTTGCCCCAAACGGTATTCAAAAATTATCACTGGTTGAAGAGTAATTGAGATTTGAAACTTGTGGAAAAAAAAAAAAAAAAAAAAAGGGAAAGAGAGGGATAGTCGGGAGAGGGAGGAAGAAAATGAGGCCAAGGTGATGGCCTCTTGGCCACTCAAAAGTCAAAAGGTGGTGGTGGGTCCCACCACTAAAATCTTTTCCTTTTATTTTACATCATGCAAACATATAGGGATGGCAATAGGGCGGGGCGGGGAGGGGATCTCATTCCCCATCCCCATCCCCACTGAATTTTTCAATCTCCATCCCCGTCCCTATCATCGTTTAAAATTTCACCACCACCCTCATACCTGCCCCCACCCCCACCCCCGGCCCCGTTTAACATATATATATTTTTAAAACAAACATAATTTTTCTTATTTTCATATGTATACTAAATCTAATTTAGTAATAAATTATTATATGTAAGGGTATATTAGTAATTCACACTTAATCAGGGCGGGGCGGGGTGGATTTACCCCATCCCCGTCCCTGCCCCTGCTCCCGCCCCCAGCGGGTTTTCGAAATTTACTCCCATCCCCATCCCCGTTTACATAAAAGGGTCCCCATCCCCGCTATAAACGGGGCGGGGCTGGGACCTGCGGGGATGGGGAATTTGTCATCCCTGCAAACATATATGCACACCATTTACATTAACCACATATAACACATTAAATAAGATAATTAAAATGGAAATGGACCCAACCGATACTCTCGTACGCGACAATTCCGGTGGCGGGTCCCACACGGGACCATCTGGCCCGAAAAATAGAAAAATGCTGAAATGACAACTCTTACATTTTCAAGAGTCCTGAACTCAATGGAATGCCCCAACCAACTCTTTGACACACCCGACACACCCCGTGGTGTCCGGCACACAAAACGTGAAAAGACGAAAATACCCTTGCCAAAAAGAGAAAATCCCAAAAATGGAAAATAATGAAAATCAGAAATATTACATAACCCCTCGTTGTTTGTTCACCTCCCCTATACATCAAAACTGGTGTGGATTAGTGCCTTTTGGGCGTTGACCTCAATTGAACGGTACCGGAGCTACAAAAAGACTAAAATAACCCTCTATCTATGATTTAAAAAAACTAATAATATAACATAAAATAGAAAAAGACAAAGAAACCTTTTGTCAATACGACGTCGTTTCAAGTTAGGGCATATTCACACTTTCTCTTCTGTTGCCTCACTTTACACACTTGCACTTTCTCTTTCTGTCGCTCTTTTTTTTTTTTCTCCCTCTCTACAATAGAGAGGTATTTGTGCTGAAAGTGACGACTTGTACAAGTGGCATAGATCCTTCCTGACTTGGTTTTCTTCGTCGTGATTTGTGGAATCGAAGCACAATGGTATGTATCCAAAAACTAGGGCTTTTTTTTTGTTTGATTTTGATTATGTGTGTAAGGTATATTTTTGTTTGTTTGTGGCTTGTAAAGTCAAGATTCTTGTTGTCAGCTTGTTTTTCAAAAAGGGTTTCAGTTCTTTAATAATGGAGTGGACCGCTTCTTTCGTTAATGCTTTGTGGGTCCTTAAAACTCCATTAAAAAGTAAGAGTTTACTATAAACAACCAATTTTGATGGACCTAATATGTTGGTATGTGTGATTAATGTTGATGAAATCTAATTAGGATTTTTTTAATCGGATTAAGGTTTTTAAAATTTTGATAAGGGGTTTTTTTAATCGAATTAGGGTTTTTAAAAATCTGATTAGGGTTTTATTTATTTATTTATTTATCGGATTAGGGATTTTTAAAATCTGATTAGGTTTTATTTTTCCTGATTAGGGTTATTAAAAATGTAATTAGGCTTCTTTTTTTTTTTTTTTTTTCCCTGATTAGGGTTATTAAAAATCTAATTAGGATTTTTTTTAATCTGATTAGGTTTTTAAAACATTAATTTGGTTGGTATACGTATGCACTTATGAATATTCATATGATCAGTGTTTTGTTGGTATATGCATGCATGCACTTATATGTTTAGTGGTTTTTTCATTTATTTTTTATTGTGTGTTATAATGCATGTCCATGTTGACAGTGTATGTGCTATTTGTTCCTGCAGCGCATGGACAAGTATTATAGAGTAGAATTTCATCATTCTGGTCATTTGATAAGAAGTAGAATTATGTTTATGGCATTGTAGAGTTTTATGATGATATTGATCCTGATTTGATATCTTACATAAAGATTGAGGAAATATTGAAAAATATTGGTCTTAAACCTAAAAGTCCAATGTATTATAGAAATCCCAATGATGGAACTACTATACTGATGTAAGGTGATAAAGGTGTTTTGGACATATTTGAATGTTATAAGAGGTTTTCAATTGTTAAAATATTTGCACTAAATGTTATGGGTTCAGTTGAAGGAGATGGAAATGTGAATAGAACTGGAGCTTTACATATGGAAGATGTAGCCATTGAAGATGCAGGTAATGAGAGAGATGATGGCCTGACATTGATTTTGAGAGTGATTTTGAAGTTGGGGATACTGATTTTGAATTTGGGGATGCTGATTTTGAATTTGGAGATGCAACTGCTGAACATACAAATGCTGAAGATGCATTTGTTGAATATGTTTTTTTAGATACTGATGATGGCAGTGATACTGAAGGCAATAGAGGAATATATGTTTGGGGTGCTTTAGAGGACTTGTCTGGGGAATCTGTTTATGCACCAAGTGATGAGTTGTGGAGTGTGCACAGTTCATCTGAAGAAGATTATTGTGTTGAAAGTAATAGGCCCATTGGTAATGAATTTATTGTGGAAAGATATTTGGGTTCTAAACCTTTGACAATTGGAATGAAGTTCACTTGTGTAGATGAATTTAGAATTGCTTTAAGGGAGCATGTCTTAAAGAACAGATATGACTTCATGTTCAAAAAAAATGAAAGAAAAAGGGTGACAACTATATGTGCTAATAAATGTGGTTGGAGGGTTCATGCTTCCCGTAATAGTGTTACCAAGGCATTTACGCTTAAGAAGTTATCATTTATACATATTAACTACCCTTCAGTTGATGAAAATAGACAGGCCACTTCAGAATTGATCCAGATTGGACGTATGCCCTTATTGAAGATGCAATTAAGGATGACTTTGAAGTTGGTGTTTCTAGATTCCAACTTT